TGTCTCATGGTCAAAACAGCAGCCTGGAGCCTGTGGCTGGCTGGTTTTATTTTTAGAATTATGGGAGACCTCCATAAAGCCTCTTTCTTTCACTTTGAACCTCAGTTTCCCAGATGTATGAAGGAAAGAGCACAGTAGCTTGCGGAATGGCAAAAACCTGGGCTTTGTGGTCAGATAGACTAAGGTTTGAGTCTCACCTTCAGGACCTCCTAGTTACATAACCTAGAGTAAGTTACTTTACTTCTTTGGACCTTGCTTTTCCAATCTATAGTATGGGAATAATAATAAACACCTGCTTAGTTCATTGCTTCATTCATGCAACAGACATTTATGAAGTGCCTCCTATGCACCAGGCAATATCCTAGCTGAATCCACAAAGGTAAGTGAACATAGTTACTGTCTTCATGGAGCTTGTGGTCCATTGTGAGAAATAAATAACAGAAAGTATGTAGTACTATCTATGCCTGGATTTTTTTTTTTTTTTTTGAGGTGGAGTCTCACTCTGTCGCCCAGGCTAGGGTGCAGTGGCGCTATCTTCTCACTGCAACCTCTGCCTCCCAGGTTCAAGCAATTTTCCTGCCTCAGCCTCCCAAGTAGCTGGGGTTACAGGTGCTTGCCACTGTGTCGGCTAATTTTTGTATTTTTAGTACAGATGAGGTTTCACCATGTTGGCCAGGCTGGTCTTCAAGTCCTGACTTCAAGTGATCCATCTTGGCCTCCCAAAGTGCTGGGATTACAGGCGTAAGCCCCCCATGCCTGGTCTATGCCTGGCTTTTAATAGACACTGAATACATTTTTTGGGTTAACCAGACATGTAATTACTGAAATTCAATAGTATTTTAATATCTACTAATTCCTTTTTCAGTTATCCCACTCCTACCTCCGGATCTTTGCACATGATGCTCTCTCTGTCTGGGTTTGTTTTTTGCCCAGCTATTCACATGGCTCCCACTCTCACTTCATATGTGCAGTCAAACATCACCTCCTCACAGTGGCCATTCCTAGCCTTCTATTCAAATAGCCCTCCTTCTTCTATCACATTAGACCCATTCTTAATGAATTTTTAAATCATTGGCTGGGCATGGTGGCTCACACCTGTAATCCCAGCACTTTGGGTGTCCGAGGCGGGCAGATCACCTGAGGTCAGGAGTTCGAGACTAGCCTGGCCAACATGGTGAAACCCTGTCTCTACTAAAAATACAAAAGCTAGTTGAGCATCGTGGCGGGCGCCTGTAATCCCAGCTACTCAGGAGACTGAGGCAGGAGAATCGTTTGAACTTGGGAGGCAGAGGTTGCAGTGAGCTGAGATCACATCATTGCACTCTAGCCTGGGCGACAAAAGGGAGACTCCATCTCAAAAAAAAAAATCATCTGTTCACAAAAAACATACCTCTTAGATTTAGGGCAAATTTTTGTGCTAAAGTCTCTAAAATAAAATCATGTTTTTATCATTATTATTATTTTTTTTTTGAGATGGAGTCTCACTCTGTCACCGAGGCTGGAGTACAGCAGTGCCATCTTGGCTCACTATAACCTCCACCTCCCGGGTTCAAGTGATTTTCCTGCCTCAGCCTCCCAAGTAGCTGGGATTACAAGTGTGTGCCACCACACCCGGCTAATTTTTGTATGTTTGGTAAAGATGGGGTTTCGGTTTCACCATGTTGGCCAAGCTGGTCTCGAGCTCCTGACCTCAGGTGATCCTCCCGCCTCAGCCTCCCAAAGTGCTGGGATTACAGGCACAAGCCACTGTGCTCAGCCAAAATCATGCTTTTAAAAGAGATTTGAAGATACTTTACAATAAAAGATATAAGAATGGCCAATAAGCACACCAAAAGGTGCCCAGCATCACTAGTCATCAGGGAAAATTTCCTTTTTTTTTTGAGACAGAGTCTTGCTCTGTCACCCAGGCTGGAGTGCAGTGACCCAATTCGTTTCACCACAACCTCCACCTCCCAGGTTAAGTGATTCTCATGTCTCAGCCTCCCAAGTAGCTGGGACTACAGGTGTGCACCATCACACCTGGCTAATTTTTATATTTTTAGTAGAGATAGGGTTTCACCATGTTGGCCAGGCTGGTCTCAAACTCCTGATCTCAGGTGATCCACCAGCCTGGGCCTCCCAAAGTGCTGGGATACAGGCATGAGCCACTGTGTCCAGATGGCCCAGAAATATTCAAAAGGCTGATACTGCTAAGTGTTGGCAAGGACGTAGAATAACTGGAACATTCATACACTCATGGTGGGAGTGCAAAATGGTACAACGACTTTGGAAAACACTTTGGCAGTTTCTTACACAGTTAAATTATACACAGACCGTGCAACCCATCAATCTCGATCCTAGGTATCTACCTAAGAAAATGGAAAACATACATACACAGACATATAAGGACTTGTACATATAAGGAATGTTTATAGCATTCATAAGAGCCAAAAACTGTTGACAACCAAATGTCCATCAACTGATGAACGGATAGACAAAATGTGATCTATTCATGCAGTGGAACAGAACTCAGCAATCAAAAGGCAAAACTACTGATACATGCTACAGCATGAAGGAATCTTGCAGACATCACTTTAAGTGAAAGAAACCAGACTCAGCTGCAAACTGTCTGATTCCATCTATACGACATTCTGAAATTGGATCACTGTTTTCTGGAATCAGGAGCTTGCAGGGAATAATTGACTATAAATTAGCACAAGGAAACATTTTAGGATGATGGAAATATCTTCAGTGTGGTGGTGACATAACTGTATACAATTGTAAAAACTCATCAAGCAGTACACTGAAGATGGGCGAATTTTTTCTTATGTAAGTTAGGCCTCAATAAAGCTGTTCCAAGAATGTTAAATATATTGAGAGATATATGCACAGAAAAGGACTCTATGCTTATCTCTTGTGGTAGGATTTGGGTGCTTTTCGTTTTCTTGTCTTTGCTTATTGAAATCTTGTAAAATTTCCACAATGATTATGTAGGGCTTTTGTAGAGAGAGAGAACAACAATAATAAAATGCCATGATCGTAAATAATTGGGTTATTCAACAAGGAATGCATTGTTCATTCAACATTGTTTGTTGTAATGAAGCCCATTTAGGCTGCCTCCTTCTCATCTATCTTTCATCAGTGGCACTTCTGAGGGGTGAGCTGAGGAAAAGGAGGCAAAAAGGTGCAGAGCTTAATAGCAATGCTTTGTCCATCCAGGACTGGGCTTGGCTCTCACCTTGCTTTCTGGATGAATACACAGTAGACTAATGATAGGGGGCTCTCATCTTCCTTTGCCAGCTTCGCCCTCCATTCCAATGCAAATCAACTCATGCGTCCTCCAGGCCCCAAGAGAGACTCCTCAGCACAGGGCCGGGCAGACTGTGGTTTGTTGGGTCCAGGCCGGGCATCCGCCTCCAGCTCACATTGGTCTGTTGGGTGCTGCGTTGTCTTGGTGAAGTCAAGAGGCCATTCATCAGTGGAGACCCACGATGAGGGTGACCACTCATGCTGCACATGGCAGGACAGGACACAAAGTCCCTCCAGGAGGCCCTCTGGGTCGGGACGTTCAGTGTCAACAGCCCTCTGGCCCTTTTCCCCCATCACACATCCCATTCATCTCCGAACTTTCCGCTTATGAAAGGGCAGTCACCTTAGGAGACCCAGCCAACCTGGAGGTGGAGGATGGCGCGTCAGGAATGGTCCACACCGCTTCCCTTGGGTGCCTTGGCTGCACAAAGTCCCGACAGAGTCCAGGTGTCAGAACATAGGAATCCAGTGAGGATAACAAATCTATAATTATAAAATAGCTTCATAAAAATATCCCACGGAAGAAACATACAATTTTCTAGCCACTCTAGTCAAGAAGTAAAGCCCAGCAGAAGCCCAGAGCAAATAGGGTGGGCACGAGGGGAGTGAGACACATCACAGCTGTCCTGGAAGCCTCTGTTTTGTCACCCATAAATGGTAAGCTGGGAGAGACCCTGATTCCCAACCTAGGGTCTCTGTCCTCAGGGTTCACACAGGCACTGTTGTCAGGAACTCTTTCCAGCATCTAAAAACTCCATACATTATTCACAGTATCCAAAAGGTAGAAACAACCTAGGTGCCCACTGATGGATGAATGGATAAACAAAATGGGGACTATCTAGACAATGGGCAATGATTCAGCTTTTAAAATGAAAGAAATCTCTGACACATGCCGCAACATGGATGAACCTTGAAGACATGATGCTAAGTGAAAGAAGCCAGTCAAAAAGGATAATATTGTATGATTCCTCCTGAGTGGCCAAATTCACAGACAGAATTTTTACTAGGGGCTGGGAGGAGAAGGGATGGGGTGATATTGTGTATGGGTACAGAGTTGCAGTTTGGGATGACAAAAAGGTTCTGAAAATAGACAGTGGTAATGGTTACACAACACTGTGAATATATTTAATTCCAGACGTGTACACTTAAAAATGGGCAAAATGGTAAATTTTACATTGTGTATATTTTACCACATCCACAAAGAAACAAACTCCCCACATACCCACAGCATCTCTCTTCATTAAAGTGTGACGTCACACCCATTATCATTCATATCCAAATGGGCAGATATAGCCTCTGATTAATTTTTTAGAAGAAACAAAAGTAACAGCAAAATATGTGAATTGTGACCCACACAGGAGTTTTCTGGGCAATTATAACCTTTCAAAGCATGGCATTTTTCAGGGAAGACAAAGAGGATGTGATGGAAAGGTTGGCTTGAGTGAGTATCTTGGTATCCGCACCTGCCCCTAGCCTCAAATGCTGATTTTGTACTCGAAGGGGCTATGCTAATATGCCCCAGAGGAGATACCAGATGGCGTCTTCAGACAGTTTCCCCCCCAGCCATAGGGATAGGCATTTGGGGTTTGAAATGGCGCTTTCTCTGGCCTACTTTTAGAGCCTGGAGTCAGACTTCTTCAGAATAAATAGGTCAGAACCAGTCGGGAACTCTCTGGCCACATGTCACTGAAACAGTACCAGAAATGCATGGCACTAGCTAATACCACTGAGGGGCAGGATGGCACACCCTCTCTGAGCCTCTCATCCATCATCCCCAGAACTAGAACAGGGTCATGATGGCTCTTGGCAGCCTGCTCAGCACGAGGGTAAGAACAGCTCAGAGATTACAAGAGTAAATACAATAGCTTTCCTTTCCAGACCAAGAGCTTGGGCACCAGGAGTGGGCATTCTGGTTGACTGTTAGGCAAAAAATCTTTGGGGAAATTTTCAGTTCTCTCATCATGTCTACGTTCCTTGAAAGGCAGCATGCAGGGTGGGAAGAACAATCAGAAGACAAATTTTCATCTAAATCCTACCCCTCTGTGGCCCTGGGAACTTGGACTCTTTGAGCTTCAGTCACTTTGTGAAATGACAATAATATTCAATCTCCTTAGTATGGATTAAATGAGACAGTGTCTGGGTACATACTTGAAGAATGTATTGTACAACTGCTTAGGAATTTTCTTCTGCCCCTATACTTGGAACTCAGAGTGGAGCAAACAGTAAACAGTCATCGTGTGTCAGTGAAGGGAACAGAACCTCAGAGCCCTGACCCCCTGGAAATGTTTCTTTTTCATTTACTAAATTTCTAGCAACACTGTGCTTTCTATAGAGGTTGGGGGAAATATTCAGTTAACTGCCATGTGACGGGGCCTGTGAAAGGACACCCTCAGGCAATCCCACGTCCTCCTGTCTCCTGGAGAGAAGCCACATTTCTTCAAGTTGATGCGGGGGTGCTGGGAGAAAGCCAGAGTAAACGGGGCTCTCCGGGTAACCCTTTAGGGCACACAAGTCGTTTGTGTGGGGGAGGAGTTTAGTGTGTGTCCTTCAGGAGTCCCCAGAGGGCACTCTGGCTGCAGCTTCAGTTGACCAACTTCTTCCCAGGAAGCCGGGAGGAGAGAGACCTTGGGCAAGGCTTTGTACTTTCAGTCCCAGTGAGTAGATGTGTTTCCCAATGCGGAAAATGCATACTATGAGTCCCCATCCTCCTTGTTTTTGAGTAAGTACACTGACACCTCCCCTGGTCCTGCAGCTGCCTGTAGCATTGTAAGTTCTTGCCTGGGTCTGGATGATGGAAGCAGGAGTCCCTCCGCTGTTCTCTAGACTCAGAGGGCAAGACCTAGAGTGCCCTGCAACTGAGGCAGTCTTCCCGAGGCTCGTTCTGAAGCTGTTCAGCTCTGAGGACAATGGCCTCTTGGAACTTCTTGGAACAAACAAGACAAACCAACACATTAGAGCCGACAGGAAGGGCACATCATGTTCTTCCAGAAAAGGATGAAAGGGAGTGGCTTCAGTAACAGAACATGAGGGACTCCCACACGTGGACACAAAGCATCAAGGGATAGGCCGGCTTTGCTTTTCACGTCTTCCTAGCTGCCGAATTAGGACTTACTGAGTTCACGGTGTTCTACCTCACCCGGCCCTTTTGGAGCCAGCTGGAGACGGTAAAAACCACACAGCCGCTGGAATCACATAGGCAGGCATGCCATTTCCACCTGAGAACTTTGGACGAGTCACGTCTCCCCTCCAGGCCTCAGTTTTTGCATCTGCAGGAGGAGAAGAAAACCTATCTCCAAAGCGTTGTGACAATTGAATGAGATGAAGTTTGTCAAGCCCACCACACAGACAGGTTTTGGGGCAAATTGGCTCCTTCCTGTCCTCCGCATTTCCCTGTGCTGAGGGTGAACGCAGCAGGGAAGACATCACCAGCAGCTGCCCACCGCTGCCTGGCTCTGGAGAGGGCGGCACCATGCATCCCCTCCTAACCACGCCCTGCCAATGTCGCATGCGTGTATCTCGCGTCCAGTTGGGGCCCCCAGGCAGGGGCCCGCCCTCCCTGGACCACCTCAGATATCCCAGGCTGGAATGGTGACGGGCAGGTGGGAGCAGCCGGGCCCTTCCCCCGGCAAGCCGCGGTGGGTCACCCGCGCATTCCGCAGCGGGAGGCGGCCGGGCCTGGGGGCCCCACTGCTCAGGCCCGACTCAGAGGGCTGCCCCGAGTCGCTGGGCCGCACCGTCACGAAGACCCGCCTGCTCAGAGGCGCGGGCCGCTCGGAGTAGGCCCCCTGGTGGCTCCCCCACGGGCGCGGGCAGAGGCGGGCGCGGAAGGCGGCCTGGAAGCCGCGGCGGAAGTTCTCGTTGAAGTAGCCGTAGATGATGGGGTTGGCGCTGCTGTTGAAGAAGGCCAGCCAGTGCGCGAAGGGGAAAGCGTAGACCGTGATCAGGTGCAGCTGCGGCGCGCTGAGCTGCCCGTAGTCGATGAGCAGCAGCAGCGACCAGAGCGGCAGCCAGGACAGCGTGAAGAAGAGCGCCACCATGACCAGCATGTGCACCACGCGCGCCCTGCGCCGCGCCGCGCGCGGGTCAGCCGCCTCCTCGTCCCCGCGGGCCGGGCCCGGGGCCTGGCAGATCTTGCGCGCGATGCGGGCGTACATGATCACGATGAGCGCCAGCGGTGCCAGGTAGATGTGCGAGAAGAGCACGGTGGTGTAGACCCTGCGCATGCCCTTCTCGGGCCAGGCCTCCCAGCACGAGTAGAGAGGGTAGGAGCGGTTACGGGCGTCCACCATGAAGTGGTGCTCCTCACGGGTGACGGTCAGCGTGACGGCCGAGGGACACATGATGAGCAGCGCCAGGGCCCAGATGATGGCGATGGTGACCAGCGCCTTCCGCAGGGTCAGCTTCTCGCGGAAAGGGTGCACGATGCAGCGGAACCTGCGGCCAGGGGAGAGAGACGTGGGGTCTGGCAGGGTCCTGCGAGGGAAGGGCGGGTGGCATGGGGGCATCTGACCTTCATCATCGCATCTAGAGCAGCGTCGAAGAACAGCTCAGACGCGAATTGGCTGAGTAGTCAAAGAACAAAGGCAGCTACAGGATTTATGAGAGAGGAAGAAACTGCAGATCGTGTGGGAACAATGAATCCTGGGTGCACTTTTCCACTTTTCTCTTTTTTTTTTTTTTCCCTGGGACAGAGTCTCCCTCTGTCATCCAGGCTGGAGGGCAGTGGCGCCATTTCTGCTCTGTGCAGCCTCCACCTCCGGGACTTGAGCAATCCTCCCACCTCAGCCTCCTGAGTAGCTGGAACCACAGGAATGTACTGTCACGCCTAGCTAATTTTTTAAAATTGTGTAGAGATGAGGTCTCACTATGTTGCCCAGTCTAGTCTCAAAGTCCTGGGCTCAAGTGATCCTCCAGCTTTGGCCTCCCAAAGTTCTGGGATTACAGGTGTGAGCCTCCGAGAGAGGTCATTTATGTACTTTTGGTGGTAAACTGATTGCAGTCAGGACGTGCAGTCTGTCCTTCAGAAGGATGATTAGGTGCGTCAAATAATACAGTTTATAGATTCTCCAGAAAACCTCAGGAGGGCAGATGTAGAGACTACATGTCAGGCTGTACCTATGACATCTTGGCTAAAGTCAGTATCAGTATCTCCACCATGCAAGGACAAGTCTGCATCATTAATTTCCTCATGAGGACAACTCAGCATCAGTTATCACACACTTTATTATGTTTTAAAGGTAAGGCCTTTAAGATAGTTATTACAATCTTTATTTACAGATAAGGAAACTGGGACTCAGGTGTTAAGCAATTGCCTCAAGGTCACACAGCAAGTTGCAAGGACCAGTTCTGAACCCAGATTTGTCTTGCTTCATATGCCACATAAACCAGTAGCTGGAAACCCTCTATGTATGTAAGACTGCCCTGAAGCATTTCAACAACAGAAACAAAACCCATGCCTATTCCTCCAGGCCAAGGATTCCATCCTAATTAGTCTAGAAAGGGGTTTTAGCATTGTTTATTTGTTGTTTTTGTGTTTAAAGCTCCTGGAGTCAGGTGCCATGGTTCATGCTTATAATCCCAGCACTTTGGGAAGCCAAGGTAGGAGGATCACTTCAACCCAGGAGCTGGAGACCAGCCTGGGAAACATGGTAGAACCCTATCTCAAAAAATTAACCAGGCAAGGGAATGCTTGCCTATACTCCCAGCTACACAGGAGGCTGAGGCAGGAGAATCACTTGAGCCCAGGAGGTTGAGACTGCAGTGAGCCACGATCACACCACTTCATTCCAGCCTAGGCAGCCGAGCAAGATCTTGTCTCAAAAAAATTTAAAAACGCTCCTGGGGGAAGTCTACTATGCAACTAGAGTTGAGAACTGCTGCTGTAGGTGGAGGTAGAAACCTCCCTTTGCAGTGTGGTTCCAAGACGACTGCTCCCTGCAAGCTCTTTGAGGGCAGGTGCCATGACTTTAATCTCAACATTCCCAAGTGTGGCTAGATAAATGCATGAATAACCAGAGGGCAAGTTACTCAAAATACTTTCTGAGGCTTAGTTTCCTCATCTTAAAATGAGGCCAATAGTATGACTTACTCTGTGTGGTACTTGTGAAGCTTGAGATGACACTCACCACACTTCTTGAGACATTTTGCATGCTTAATAGAATAAAGAGGGGCTCCTACTCCCCAGAATGGCTTCTGTCATCTACTGATGCCAGAAAATAGAAACCTGAAGAATGTCCAGTCAACCTTACTTGTTTAACGGAGGGGAAACCTTGCCCAGAGGGGTTCTTATGGTCACATGGCTGTTGAGAGTCAGAGCCTGCCCTGGAACATAGGCCTCGAGCTGACTCTCAATCAAGTGTCCTGCCCCATTCATTACACTGTGTCCTGCCCCTCTGCCAACCTGCACTTTTTTTGGCCTGAGAGCCTGACCTTTTACCTCTCCCACAGCCTGACTCAAGCCTTGTTGTCTCAACCTATGACTCTGACCTACTGGCTTCATACTTCACACACTCAAGAAAGTTCCAGAGAATAGTGGCTCATGCCTGTAATCCTAGCACTTTGGGAGGCTGAGGAGGGCAGATCACTTGAAGCCAGGAGTTCGAGACCAGCCTGGCATGGTGAAACGCCATCTCTACTAAAAATACAAAAATTAGTCATGGATAGTGGTGCGTGCCTGTAATCCCAGCTACCCTGGAGGCTGAGGCACAAGAATGGCTTGAACTCAGGAGGTGGAGGTTGCAGTGAGCCGAGATGGCCACGGCCCTCCAGCCTAAACAACACAGCAAGACTCTGTCTCCAAAAAAGAAAAAGAAAAGAAATCTCCAGAGAATAAATAATTCTTAAAGCATGTAGTACTGGCTATGAGTGCAATAGCAGTAAATGGGTGGAGGAGAATCTTGGGGTAATCCAGGAAGGCTTCATGGATGAGGTGGGACTTGAGGAATACTGCAAACACCACTGAGAGAAGTCGTACACTCTCATTTCATTCAACAATGATAACAAAACAAAGGTCAATGAAGAGAAGGGACTTGTGATCACCCAGCTAGTTAGTGGCCTTGTGGAGAGTAGAACCCACCTTATCACTTCAGCTGCCTACATCACCGGGTTACAAAAAACTGGGCTTGAGGTGGAGAGATGATGTGAACTCTAGATTGTACAAAGGGCAGGGCTAAGAAATGCCCATGCTGGGGAGAGAACAAGGAGGAGGGGATGGGTGTGCAGAAGAAATAAAATACTATTAGCAACTGACATTTGGAGTCTATGCCAGGAACTGTGCATAAGCTTTTATAAGCAGGAGCTTACTGAAGCCTCCCAACCATCCTGTAGGGTAGCTACCATTTACAGACGACACTACAGAGTCTCAGAGTAATTAGGGGACCCACCCAACAGGATACACCTAGGCAGGAATGAGCATACCTCCAGCTGATTGCCCACCCTTCCCCGGGATGAAGCACCCAGAAGGCGCCCTTCTACCACTAACAATGCTGTGGGGAGGAGAACTCACACAGTGCAATACGGAGGCCTCCTGGGTTCAGGGCTTTATTGATTGCAAAGCCTCCTTGTCCCTGGATCTGCTCCATACCTCTGGCCACATGACAGACTCATAGACTTAACCAGAGAATCTGATGGAATGTGAGGCCGAACGAGCAGAAGGGGTGGAGATGGGGATTGAGTATGGCCTGTGCTTCCGGGGACCAGCAAGGAGCCAGTGAGGGGAGAGTAAGATGCAGGGAGAGACCCTTTCTCCCCAGCCATACCGAGGCCCACCCATAAGCTGGCTCCCTTAGCCCTGGCTCTCCTGGCTCTGACAGGGGTGGCAAGATTCTCGACACTCAGGAAATGAGGACTGCTCTCAAGCTCCTCACAGGCCCCAGGAATCCCGACGAAAGCCAACTAAGGCTGCCTCCAGGCCTTCCAGAAGGAGGTGGTGGTGTCCTCATCTGGTCCCCCAAGTTTAGGAAAAGGGCAGCTGGGCCCACAGCCCTTCTCTTTATGGCTCAGGATTTAGCCCCGCTTACCACAGGGCAGCCCCAGCCTTCCAGCCAACCCAGCATTAGAGACAGTGGCTCCTCTTAATGCCAGGCCCTAGTTGGCCCAGGGATAATCCAGCCAGGAAACCTCTTACCTTTCCACAGCGATGGCCACCAGCGTGAAAACGGAAGCTGACACAGACATACCCTGTACCAAGCCGCTCATCTTGCATGTGGCATTGTCGAAGGGCCACCCTGCAATGACAGAGGCCCCCACAGAGTGAGAGAGGCTCACATCAAGAGCCAGAGACCACAAGCCCCCCAAGCCAGGTCCCCTCTGAGCCCTGTTTATATAGGGCATTGATTCTAGGACCCCCAAGTATTCCAAAATCCACACATAATCAAGTCCTGCCGTCAGCCTTGCAGAACCTGTGTATAGAAAAAGGCAGCCCTCTGTATATATGTGGTGATATGGTTTGGCTGTATACCCACCCAAATCTCATCTTGAATTGTAGTTCCCATAATCCCCATGAGTAACGGGAAGGACCCAGTGGGAGGTAATTGAATCATGGGGGTGGTTCCCCCATGCTATTTTTGTGATGGCAAGTTCTTGCGAGATCTAATGGTTTTATAAGGGGCTTCTCCCTTCGCTCGGTTCTCATTCTTCTCTCTCTTGCTGCCTTGTGAAGGACCTGCTTCCCCTTCCACCACGATTATGTTTCCTGAAGTCTTCCCATCCCTGCAGAACTGTGAGTCAATTAAACCTCTTTCCCCCCAGAATTACCCAGTCTCAGGTATGTCCTTATGGCAGCATGAGAATGGGCTAACATACACAGGTTTTGCATCCTGGGAATACTGTATTTTTAATTTGCATTTGGTTGGAAAAAAACCCTCATATAAATGGACCCATGCAGTTCAAACCCATGTTGTTCACAGGTCAACAGTATTAGTGAGATTTTCTTTGTGTTGACCAGTGATTTATCTCCATGAGCTTTAGACCATCCAGCCCTGCCTGGCTCTCTTTTCCCATAGCCCTGTCTCAGGATCTCGGCCAGTGGTTCTTGACATTGGCTGCTCACAAGAATCACCTGGAGAGCTTTGCAAAGAACAAATGCTCAGACCCACGCCGGGCCAATTACAATCAGAATCTCTAGTGGTAGGACCCAGACAACAGTTGTTTTGTTTTGTTTGAGATAGGATCTCGCTCTGTCACCCAGGCTGGAGTACAATGGTGTGATCATAGCTCACTGCAGCCTCAACTTCCTGGGCTCAAGCAATTCTACCACCTCAGCCTCCTGAGTAGCTGAAACCATAGGCATGTGCCACCACACTCAGCTTTTTATTTTTTGTAGAGATGGGATCTTGCTATGTTGTCCAGGCCAGTCTTGAACTCCTGGGCTGAAGCAATCCTCCTGCTTCAGCCTCCCAAAGTGATAGAATTGTAAGCATGAGCCACTGTGCCCAGCCCACATCAGTTTTTTTTGTTGTTGTTGTTTGTTTGTTTTGTTTTGTTTTGTTTAAGATGGGATTTTGCTATGTTGTCCAAGCTGGTCTCTAACTCCTGGGCTCAATGATCCTCTTGCCTCACCTTCCTAAGTAGCTGCGATTACAGGTGCACCCCACCACTCCTGGCTCTCCATCAGTATTTTAAAAATCAACCCAGAGGATTCAAATGGCAGCCATAGTTGAGAACCACTAGGACAAATCAATCAATACTCTCCCAGATAGGGAGAGGTATGAGCAGCTCCAGCCCCCACATCCTGGGCTTCTCCTTTGTCAGGAGACCTGGGCCCCACCGGCTCTCGTGACTGTAACCACATCACTGGTCACAGCTTTGTTCCTGAGGCTGTCTTGGTAGCAGCCTGGTGTCTCTGCCCCTCTAGACCCGGGGGCCCACCTTATTCTTGTCTTTCGTGCCTGAGACAGGAGTCTCCTCTGGAACCAATTATGTTGACTTTCTGCCTGCACGCTTGTAAGTACAAGCACTAGCTCATTCAATCCTCACAACAGCCCTGCTATTGTCATACCAGCTTTACAAATGAAAAAATTAGAGGGGAGATTAATGTACAGCCTCTTTGCCCCCAAATCAATATGGATTAGTGGTGTCAGTCAGGTCTAAGTGCTGGGGAGTTTCAGTGTCATGGGAAGTTAACATTGCTATAGAAAACAGAGTGGTTCTACTTGGAAAACTGCGAATGTGCCAACTCTCGGACCCAGCAGTTCTTCTCCTGAGTTCATTTCCTTGAAGACATTCCCGCAGGACGCATAAATGTGTCCACTGCCATGTTATTTGTAATGATGGAGTTGGAATGGTATGCCAGTAAATCAGCTCTTAAAAAACAAAAAATAAAAACCAACAAGAAAACAAAACAAATTTTAAGTTAAAACAAAAACCCTGGTTTGTTGCATTTGCCAGTTTCTGTGGTATAAGCCTCCCTACACGGCAAAGTTCAAACTACCAATACGTTATCACTTGAGAAGAAATGTCCACAACTGGCCCTCACCACTAGGGAGAGGCCATCCTGGTGCCCACCCCTGGAAGACTGGAGGTTAAATGTGGTGGACACACACCGCGGAGTACAAGGCAGCGGCTGGAAGACACAGGTCAGTTGTCTACAGGGCAACATGAATAGAAGGCTTAGCAAAAAAAAAAAAAAAAGAGGAAGAAATAGAATGAGATCTATGACACAAACCATTCATTTAAATTAACAATATAACCAGGAAAATTCTGATACAGGACAATCTTGGCATAGAAAAAACACAAAAGGGAAATAGCCCAAGCTGACATTAAAATATACTATCAGGGCCAAATGCAGTGTTTCACCCCTGTAATCTCAGCACTTTGGGAAGCTGAGGTGGGTAAATCGCTTGAGCTCAGGAGTTTGAGACCAGCCTGGCCAACATGGTGAAACCCCATTTCTACAGAAAAAATACAAAATATTAGCCAGGTGTGGTGGCACATGCCTGTAGTCCTAGCTACTCGGGAGGCTGAGAGGTGGGAGGATCCTTTGAGCCTGGGAAGTTGAGGCAGCAGTGAGCCATGATCACACCACCGCACTCAGCCAGGATAACAGAGTAAGACCCTGTCTCAAAAAAATAAAAATATATTCTAGCAGACCTCTATAATTAAAACAGTGTGCTGCTAGTGCATGAACAGATGAATAAATCAGTAGAATAGGATAGAAAGCCCAGCAATAGACCCAGGTACAGCAGAAACTTAGTGCATGATGAAGGTAGCATCTGAAACCATGGTGACAAAGATTGACTTTTTAATAAACAGTGCTTCATCATCTGGGTAGCCATTTGGAAAAAGATAAAATTAGATCCATATCTCACACCATACACAAGAATAAACTACAAGTGGAAAAGTAATCTATATGTAAAAACAGACATTGTACGAGTACTAGAAAAAAACAGGTGAGTTCTTTTTAACTTATGTGTAGGGAAAAGCTTTCTAATTATGTTTCAGAATCCAGAGGCCAATATAAAAAGAGATTGATAAGTGTGTCTACATAAAAACATTTTAGCTGAGTGTGCTGGCGGGCGCCTGTAATCCCAGCTACTCGGGAGGCTGAGGCAGGAGAATCACTTGAACCCCGTGAGGGAAATCGTGCCACTGCATCCCAGCCTGGGTGAGAGGGCAAGACTCCATTTCAAGGAAAAAAAAAAGACAATTATTAAAATTTTTAATTGCATAGCAAAAAATTCTGTAAACAAAGTCAAAGATAACCAACAAATTAAGAAGATATTTGTATTGTGATATATCACAGACAAAGACCTTTTACCCCAAATGTATGAAGAACTCATAAAAATTGAGGGACAAAGGACTGAAAACCTGATTGAAGTGTGGAAAGATATAAGCAACTTGAGAAGTTCAGGCTGGGCATGGTGGCTCATGCCTATGATCCCAGCACTTTGTGAGGCCAAGGCAGGAGGATTGCTTGAGTTCAGGAGTTTGAGACCAGCCTGGGCAATATAGTGAGACCCTGTCTCTACCAAAAATTTTTAAAAACATGTTCATATCTTATTCATAATTAGAAATATACAAATGGCCACAGCAAGGTTATGGAGAAATAGGCTCTATCAGACATTGCTTGTAGGAATGCAAACTGATACAGACTTTATGGAGGGGAATTAGGATACATAACAAACTACATAAGCATTTACCTTTTGATATGACAATCTCACTTTTGTTTTCTTCTTTTGAGACAGGGTCTCACTCTGTCACTTAGGCAGTGGCCATGATCACCTCCTGGATTCAGATGATCCTCCCACCTTAGTCTCCTCAGTGGCTGGGACTACAGGCGTGTGCCACTATGCCTGGCTAATTTTTGTATTATTTTTGTAGAGACAAGGTATGGCCATGTTGCCTAGGCTGATCTCAAACTCCTGGTCTCAAGTGATTCACCTGCCTTGGCCTCCCAAAGTGCTGGGATTACAGGCATGAGTCACTGCTCTCAGCAGCAATCTCACTCCTGTACTCTAGCCTAAATATACCTCCAACGATAAAAATACATATGTACAAGGTTACCCATTGTAGCATTGTTTGTAATTGCAAAATAATAGAAACAACCTAAATCCTCATGTGAAGAAATGGTTGAATAAACTATGATACATCCATTTGTAGAGTATTAAACAGCTGCAACAAAGACTGAGGAAGACCCCTAGGAACTGATATGAAATGACTTCCAGGATGTACTGCTAAGTGCAGAGAGCAAAGTATTAAGACTGTCTATAGGATATTACCCTTCATGTAAGAAAAAAGGGATTAAGGCCGGGCGCGGTGGCTCACGCCTGTAATCCCAGCACTTTGGGAGGCCAAGGCGGGTGGATCACGAGGTCAAGAGATCGAGACCATCCGGGTCAACATGGTGAAACCCCGTCTCTACTAAAAATTCAAAAATTCAGCTGGGCATGGTGGTGTGTGCCTGTAATCCCAGCTACTCAGGAGGCTGAGGCAGGAGAATTGCCTGATCCCAGGAGGCGGAGGTTGCGGTGAGCCGAGATCGCACCATTGCACTCCAGCCTGGGTAACAAGAGCGAAACTCCGTCTCAAAAAAAAAAAAAGAAAAAGAAAAAAGAGATTAAGAAAATATATGCTTATTTTCTTATTATACCAAAGTTACAGAAAAGATAAATCAGAATAATGAGATTGGCTACCTAAACAGAGAGAAGATAAGAATTGGGTAGAAAAAATGGGTGAATGGGATAGTTGAGGTAATGAGAGTGATGTCTCTCTGAGTGTATCTTTGTATGGTTCTGACTTTTTAGAATCATGACAATGTTTCATTTACCCAAAAAATAAATAATCAACATCTAACAGGATGTGGCTGGGGAGAGAGGACCCAAAGTGAAATACAATCATTAGCAAATAAGCCTAATTGTACTACAAATGAATAATATTGTATTTAAATTGAATAATATTCACATTGAAGGGGTGAAGAAGAAAGAGACTAACTGAAGTAACTTTGGAAAACAATATTTTGACTGTATAATATAACAGCAAAAAAAACTGTAAACAAATTCCATACTGTCATTAATAAATTTGTGGTCCTCTTGACAAAACTGAATAAACTGGATCTAAATTATGGGAAAACATCAGGCAAACCTCAATCACAGAAGCATGGTAGCAATAATGAAACTACCTTATGTGTATATTAGGATTGAACAAATAAGTAAATCTATTGTAGATAAATACAGCTAGATTGCTCACTGCCTGAAAAAGAAGTTACCGATAAGCAAGAGGGAAAGTTCAAATGAATCTGTGACAGTGGGCTGGAATCAGAAGTATCAGTCTGAACTCATGTTAACACACATACAGATGGTCAGATATAGAAATAGAGTTATGTGTGTTAAATGTTTCTGTTAGTATACATGTATTTCCTAGCTCTGTCCCTGGAGAGCACCTAGAAGCAATGACACCCCAGTAGCCATGAGCACATCTAGAACCCAGATCTTGGCTTCTAAATACTATTCTCAGCCAGGCATAGTAATCCTAGCACTTTGGGAGGAAGAAGCAGGAGGATCACTTGAGCCCAGGAATTCAAGGCCAGACTGGGTAAGATAGTGAGACTCTGGCTCTACAAAAACAAAAAATTTAAAAAAAAGTTAGCCACACATTGTGGCACAATGTCTGTAGTCCCAGCTACTGGGGAGGCTGAGGTGGGAAGATCTTTGAGGCCAGGAGTTTGAGGTCACAGTGAGCTATGATCTCGCCACTGTACTCCAGCATTGGTGACAGTCTTTTTAAAAAGCAACAACAACAAAAAATCCTTGTGGAACTATATACTTAAAAAAGCAGATTTTAATGTATGTTAAATTATATCAACAATATTTACATGTAAAACATGCATACATTAACGGCGCATTTTCTAAGAATGCATACAAAAGACAGAAATATAACAGAATGGCTGCCTATGGGTCAGAGAGGAGATGTGAAGTGGAATAGGTATATAGAAGGAAATAAATAAATAATCAAAAATAAAAGAAGAGCTTTGCAACAGAGTGAAATCATGTAGTGCCATGAACTGGACTGAATGAATGATTCGACTTTCTGTATGTGAGTTCAAAAAAAAAAAAACCAACACAAAACAGAACAAAAAGACACAAAGAAAAAGCTAGGCATGGTGCCTCACTCCTATTATCCCAGAACTTTGGGGGGCCAAGGTGGGCAGATGGCTTGAGCCCAGGAGTTTGAGACAAGCCTGGGTAACATGGCAAAACCCCATCTCTTCAAAAAATAGAAAAATTAGCCAGCTGTGGTGGCACATGCCTGTAGTCCCAGGACCTGAGCCCAGGGAGGTCAAGGCTACAGTGAGCCGTGATCATGCCACTGCACTCCAGCCTGGATGACAGAGTGAGACTGTCTCAAAAAAAAAAAAAAGAGGCCAGGCATGGTGGCTCATGCCTGCAATCCCAACACTTTGGGAGGCCGAGGCAGGTGGGTCACTTGAGGTCAGGAGTTCAAGACCAGCCTGGACAACATGGTGAAACCCCATCTCTACTAAAAATACAAAAATTAGCTGGGCATGGTGGCACGCACCTGTAATTCAGGAGGCTGAGGCAGGAGAATCGCTTGAACTCGGGAGGCAGAGGTTGTAGTGAGCTGAGATCGTGCCACTGCACTTCAGCCTGGGCAACAGAGTGAGAAAGAAAAGAAAAGAAAAAAAAGAGAAAAGACAAGAAGGAAGGAAGGAAGGAAGGAAGGAAGGAAGGAAGGAAGGAAAAGAGTTAAGCTATGTGAAGTTTTATTTAATTGTAGAAGATTCTATTAAAAACAGCATAAATACACATCAAAATAAATTATAGTACATCCATACAATGGAATTCTAGCAGTAGGTGAAAAGAATGAGAAACTCTTTTATCTATTAATAGGGGCTAACAACATGTAAGTTGATTTTAATGGATCTTATTTACAGTATACATGATATATTTTTAAGTGGTGTTGGATGGGAAGTAAAAGTACGGGACCGACTGTTTGGAAACTTAGCATATCTTTAATTTGCTTGCACTCACATAAAATATTTTTTGAAAGAGACACAAGAAACTGGCAACAATTGGTTACCTCCCAGGAGGGAGAGGAGCTGGGAGGCCAGACGACAGGGGTAGAAGGGAGATTTTTCACTGGAGAACTTTGGTAGCTTTGACTATTGAATCATCTAAATGTTTTATTTATTCAAACAATTTTTTAAATATGAGTGTATGAAAAAGATGAACAGACACCAACTTAACCAGCTCGTGACCTCACCATATCACTGTTGACTGGTATGCATGCTATGTGCATGCATGTATGCATCTCTGCACATGTGTGTCTGAGTACACGTGTGTGTGTCTAGTGTTGGAAAGGAAGGGGATGCAGTTTATATTCCTCATCGGCAAAGGAAGCTGGGACTCAGCAGTGGGTAACAGTTCCACCGGACACAGCCAGTACTGTAGAGGCTTCAATTCCTGGTTCCAAGAACCTACAGAAATGCAGGCTGTGGCTCCCTCTGCTCCAAGTCAGTGAAGTCACTTCGAATGGGGCTGTCTAGGCTCTGGATCCTGAGGACTAGTGAGCGGCTGGGAGCTCTGAGCTCTGAATCTGCAGGCTCAGACCTCTAGGGGTCTCCATAGCTCTGAAAACCAGTCCCTCACCAGGAGTCTCAGGTTAGTGGAAACTTCGATTCTAAAACAAGAAAGGTCAGTTGCATGAGAGAGTAGAGAGTATATGGCCCTATTCTGACATCTGCAGATGCAGGAATTTAGAGGTCAGGTGGTCCACTGAGTAGCCAGTCAGTCCCTGCTTGGACACCCCAAGGTTCAGAGAGCTCATTACTTACAGGGCAGGACTCTCTGCTGTGCCCTGCTCAATTCCCAGTTCAAATGAATGGATTTTTAGTTTCCAATTCAGAGGAAACCTGCCTCCCTTACATTTCTCCCAGTGGCTCTATTTCTGCCCTTGGGAGCTCCGTGAGAGAGTGAGACTGAATGGTATAATACAGTAATTAGAAGTATGGGTGTAAGAATGTGGACCTTGACACCTGTTAGCTGTGTGACTACAGGCCAGTTTCTTAGTCACTCTGAGCATGTACGTTTCCTCTTCCATAAAATGGGGATGACCATAAACTCTACTTCATTTGATTGTTGTGAGGATGAATTAAGATAATGCGTGAAGAGTAAGCAACATCATAACATCATGCCAGGCACAAAGAAAGTGGGGAATCGTTATATCTCTTATTTCTAGACTAACTCCTCAGCCCCAAGACTATCTTGAGAGTTTGAGGCCACGCATGGCCAAGAGGCCAGCCCAGCAATGACGTCTGCCTTCCAGGCTTTGATTTCCGGCCTTAGCTGAGAAGCTGAAGTGCGGATGGGGGACACTCCTGCTGCGGACTGTCCACACTCACCAGTGATGAGGTTGTCCACAAGGGTGGTGGGCATGCAGAAGATGCCCACCAGCAGGTCACTGACAGCCAGGTTGAGGATGAACATGTTGGTGACGGTGCGCATGTGCCGGTTCTTGAGCACGATGAAACAGACCAGGGCGTTGCCCACCATGCAGAGCAGGAAGATGAGGGCATAGGCCACAATGAACATGGCTGCCACAGGGGAGGTGTGCTGGTAGTAGGAGGAGAAGGTGAGGTTCGCAGCCAGGGTGGCCTCAGCGTTAGTCCCATTCTGACTTAGGGGCCAACTGCTGTTGGGAGGCTGGGAGGGCTCCCCTAGGACCAAAGAAATATATGGGTCAGGATCTTAGGCAAAGACGAGTTTGCTGATTTCTCACCACTGGTGAGATTCTTCGTGTACCAAATCTTAACCGTGCCCTGGTCCCCCAAGCATGTCCCCAGCTCCAGTTGCAACTGGATGCACTGGCTTTCAGCCTTGTTTGATCAAGATTTTCAAACCCTGGTCTTGTATTTCATGCCCTGTCTTGCCCATAACTGATTCCCCAATGTTGGTCATTCTTTATTAACTCCCCCACCCCATTTAGGTTCCAACTTTCTTGGCCCTGCTGTACACCCCAGAGGCTAACCTCTAAGTGCTGCATTGTCCTGGTTCCCTTGTCTTCTGACTTCTAGCTGTGTTCAGCCAATACCAGGCACTGAAGGAGATGGGAGGGCAGGAGCAGAAAGGTCAGGGTATTTGTCTTCTGATTCCCTTCCTGCCTGGCCCAATTCTGCCAGCAGCTGTTTTTTTCCTATGGCTACAGCCTGCTCCTGTGGGTGACTCCCCTTCCGTGGCTGTAGCCCTCACCTGACTACGGTAACACTGTTCCCTCTCCTTCACTCACAGGCCCACAAATGGTAACTGCTTCCTGTGGTTGTGAGTCCCTGGGTGCTTCACTGTTTCCAGCTGGTTCTCTTACTCCTCCCCTCTTCCATTAAACTCAATTTAATTAAACTCTTTCTGAGTATACCATTTGTTTTCTGCTGCGACCCAATTATTACACCCTCAAACTCTCTGCTGATGTTCCTGTTCATCTCCTCCATGGAACTTTAGTTGAGAAAGGCAAGAAGGCAGTAGAGAAACGGAGAATGAAGGGAGACTCGGAACCAGGGCTAAGGAACAGAGGCACATCACATTCAGTAGAGCATCCAAAACAGAGGCTCCTGCTCAACCTTCACCTCCTCCCGTCCTGTGATCAGCTGTTCCACCTGTGTAGCATTTAACAAAGCACTTCCACATCTATTATTTTATTTAGCTCTCTGAGCCAGCCCATGATGTAAGTCATTAAATATTAGCCTCATTTGTTTTCTTTTGTATTTTTTTTAAAACCCTCATTGATGCCATCTTGACCAGAGCAAAGAAAAAAATGTAAAATAAAATAAAAACCCTCACTGAATTCCCCTAAGGTGTTAGCTTCATTTGAAATGAAGGTCAGAGAGGTTCCATGGCTTGCTCAAGGTCCCACAGTGAGGCTGCAGCTGAGCTGGCTCTGCTCTGTGCGTCTCTGAATAAGGACCAAGCTTTGGTGTGTCCTTCCTCAGCCTTGTTTCGAAGTGAAGACTCAGTGTCCAACCACAGCGCTTCTGGGAAGTCATTAGTTGGGGTGACTCATGATGTCTCATAAGCTCTCCTCCTGCCTTCCTCTGGGACTGAATGTAGCCTGTTCCAGGGGATGAAGAGTCCCTCTGGAATCTTTCTGTCACATCCAGAACTCAGCCACTGGCCTGGAGGCTCATTGGAGGCTGGGGGTCAGGAGGCTAGAGATCCTCGTAGGAGCAAGGCCAGTGAGCTGGCACCATCGGGGCTGCAGGGAACAGGAGGGGGCACTGTGGTGAGTGTTGGGATGGGGCAGAGGGACTCTGCTGGGAGGCAGAGAAGCTGCAAACTTCCTGTGATGTTTGATGAGAGATGATACCCCCATGCTTAGGCCTTCCAAGGACTTCCAATTGCACTCAAACATCTTTATTTTAATATGGAAAATGTCTAACATGTAGGAGAGAGAATATTATAATAAACATACACAAGAATATAAAGTTTAATGAGCTGTTATTAGAGAGATTCATATAAAGAACCCCCATGTATACATCATCTGCTTTCAACAGTTATCAGCTTGAGGCCTGGAGTTGCTTCATCCACATCCCCGCTTCTCTTTGGATTATTTGAAGCAAATACCAGACATTACTCTTTTCATCCATAAATGTTTCAGTTTGTACCTTTAAAAAATAGGGACTCAGCCAGGCGTGGTGACTCACACCTGTAATCCCAGCACTTTGGGAGGCCGAGGCAGATAGATTACCTGAGGTCAGGAGTTCAAGACTAGCCTGGCGAACATGGTGAAACCTGTCTCTCCTGAAAATACAAAACATTGGTCAGGCGTGGCAGTGGGCACTTGTAATCCCAGCTACTTGGGAGGCCGAGGCAGGAGAATTGCTTGAACCCAGGAGGCGGAGGTTGCAATGAGCTGAAATCGCACCATTGCACTCCAGCCTGGGCGGCAGAGTGAGACTCCATCTCGAATAAATAAATAAATAAATACTAAAAATAAGTTTAAAATGTGATGTCCATCATTATCAAACCTAACAAAATTAACTATGTCATTATGGCATTAAATATCTGGCATCCAGCAAAATTTCCTGATTATTTCATAACTTTTTAAATAGTTGGTTTGTTTGGGTGAGGATCCAAGCAAGATTTCTGTTTCTATTACCTATTATTATGTCATGAACCACCCCAAAATTTAATGGTATGGCACTGTGGCTTGGCAATCTTCGTAGTTCTTCTCTCTTGGGACACTCGTGCAGCTGCTGCAGTTATCTGCTGGCTCAGCTGGGGCTGGGAGGTCCAAGATGTCCCTCACATGGCTGGTGATTAGTGCTGACAATTGGCTGGGATGTCCCAGTTCTCTACGTAGCCTCTCATCCTCCAGGAAGCTTGTGTGGGCTTCTTCAGAGAACACTGGTCTCAGGGTTCCAAGAGAGCAAGACCTGGATTCTGCAATTTTCCCATCATCTCTGTCACATTCTATTGGCCAAAGCAAGTCACTAGGGATGCCCGGTTTCAAGCCAGTGGAGAAATAGTTTCACCTCTTGATAGGAAAGAAAGCAACATGGCATTGCAGAAGAGGTGTGGACATGGAATTGTGATTCACTAGGGTCCATTATGATAAAATCTACCATCATCCCCATATTGCATTTGGTCCATGTGACGCCGAAGTCTCTTTTAGTTCACAGGTTTTCCCTCTGTCTCTTTTCCCCTCTGCAGCATATGTGTCGTATGGGCTGTCATTGGTCTATAGAGCTTCTGCAGACTGGATTTTGCTAATTGTTCCCTCATTATGTCATTTTACATGTTCTGCTCTCCGTCCCCTGTACTTGGTAGTCAGATCTAGAGTCCTGATCAGATTATATCCAGTGGCCATTCTCTGTGTGGTGCTAGTCTCAATTAGGGGACTCAGGTGAGGTACCTTTGCCTCCTGGGCTTAAGCAATTCCTCCTGCCTCACCCTCCTGAGTAGCTGGGACTATAGGCATGCACCATCAAGCTGGGTTAATTTAAGGTTATTTTGTAGAGATGAGGTCTCACTATGTTGCCCAGGCTGGTCTTGAACTCCTAAGCTTAAGCAATCCTCCTGTCTTGGCCTCCCAAAGTGCTAGCATTACAGGCAAGAGCCACTGTGCCATGGGTTTTTAACAGTATTTTCAGCAGACACTAAGGATTATTGCCCAGACCCCTCATTGCTTTTCTTTTTTGAGACAAAATTTCACTCCTGTGGCCCAGACTCGAGTGCAGTGGCTGCAATCTTGGCTCACTGCAGCCTCTGCCTCTCGGGTTCAAGTGATTCTCCTACCTCAGCCTTCCGAGTAGCTGGGATTACAGGTGCACGCCACCACATCTGGCTAATTTTGCGTATTTTTAGTAGAAACGGTGTTTCACCATGTTGGTCAGTCTGGTCTCAAACACCTGACCTCAGGTGATCCACCTGCCTCAGCCCATTACGCATAAATGCTGTCTTCCCATAGAGAGCTAAAAGAAGGGGCAAGCAAAGCCCCTGGGGTTGGAAGAAGCAGGAGTGTGTGAGGAGCTAAGTGGATGGCAAAGTGACCAGTGCGTAATGGGCAAAGGGGAGAGTGGCACTGAGTGAGGCCAGAGAGATGTCAGCAGGGATCAGACCATGCAGTGTTTCAGAGGCCCTGCTAAGGAGTGTGGATTGTATTGGAAATGCAATGAGGGTTGGAGGCTGAGGCAGGTTGCAGTGTGTCAGGATCGTAGCCATTGCCTGTAGTCCCAGCTACTCAGGAGGTTAAGGTGGGAGATTGCTTGAGCCTGAGAAGTCAAGTCTGCAATGAGCTGTGATTACACCACTGCACTCCAGCCTGGGTGACAGAGCAAGACTCTGCCCCCACCCCCCAAAAATAGTACGTACATGCATTGTAAGTCCGTATTCTGTATAAAAAGCATATGTTTATGTGAACTGTAGATGACAGAAAAAATAACAGTGTTTGTCCACAAGGGGTGGTATTTCCTAAAGTGATTTTTATTTTCAGTTTTTCTAGCTTGCATTTAACCTTTCTAATCAGAAGGAAACTCTGATAGCTGTGATAAAATACTGATGATGTCACTGGTTCTTGGCCCTGACTCATCAAAATCACCTGGCTTTTAACAATACAGATCCCGCCCCTTCCAACTGGATCAGAATCTCTAGAAGGTGGTAGGGAGGTATGGGTGATGGGGTGGGGATGGGGTTGTTCAGGCACTGGCATTTTTCAAAAAAACTCCCCTGGTGATTTCTATGTGTAGCCAGATTTGAGAACCACTGAACCACACAGTCCCTGCCCTCCGGGCACTCACAGTCAGGTTTAGTGCGGCTTCACATTTTGCGGGGGTCACCAAATTCTTTGAGTCCCTGATGCATTTTGATTCCTTCACAGGTGCTTTCCTAGGGCTTCCTTTTGTTATGCCAATAAATGGTTCCTGTCTGGAGGAATGTATGGTCTCCAAAAGCAATGGATCCTGTCCCAAAAAGAGCCCTGGATATTGACACACACTTTCAGGGGGGTGTTGAGTATCACGGTTTGGGCTCACCCTGCATCCATGACCCCTTCTTTCTAGAGTACTGATTTTTCCCCTGGGGAATCAGCCACCTCCTCACACGGAGCTTTTGAGGGACTGTCCATCAGGAGTCTGCACCAACCCCTGGCCAGAGGATGCCAATCAGACCTCATCTGCTTTGGATTTGCCTCTGAGTCTTTGTAATACAGCTTTTCCGTCCCTTGGAT